TTGTGAGAATAGATTTCTGAGACCACGTTATTGCTCCACAGAGAATGGCTTTGCTGTGAGGTCACCCGTCTATTAGACATCAGGGAACCCACACCAACGCTTCCCTAGAGGCTGAAGTCCGCAGGAATTCAGGTTCTGCTTGTTAAAAGTTAGCATGCCTGGAGAGTGAGTAAGGCTCCTCTTCATCTGCATGGAGACTGGTAATCACAGATGCAGAGGTTTGAGGTTTTTTGCTTTCCTTATCTTGTGGTCACTAATCGTGTGTAACAACAGGACACACTCAGTTTGGCCATGGAGTAGTTTTTTTATATTTAACAATATTTATCTTTGACCCTCTTTACCCTGGAGATGCATGGTGTGTTTGTGTTTAGGTACTCATAGCACTGTTCAGTTGTTTCCTTCTTTCAAGTGCCTGGAGCAGTCAGCACGTGCTCAATAGCACTTTTTATTAATACTGCAGCATTACACAGAACAGCAGGTTTTGGTGGTTTCATCTGAAAGGTCTGTGCATGCTAAGCTTGGTTGAACTGAATTCTTCTGCATGTTACCAGGATGGAAAACTGAGCGTAACATGTAGGACAGCAAAATATGTGTTAGACTAGTGTTGTTTTTTTCACAGCACATAGTCACTTGATGGCATGTAAACTATGTAATTTTTAGTATCTGAAGTTACAGGTGATGCAGTGTTAGAACAATTTAGGATTAAGTTCACACTACCAAATACTGTTTTCCCTTTATCAAGTTTTAAACTGTTTGGGCTGAAATTTTCTAAGACAGAGATTTCTCTGATGAAGAAGATGACATGCACCATATCAGTCACTCCTGAAAACAGGGCCAGGAAAAATTACAACTGCATTAGTGCAGAAAGGTGACTTTGGATTGGGATGTACCCTTGGCTGCTCCTGTAGCAGGCTGCTCAGATTTGGCCATGTTGGCAGCCTTCGAAAAGTAGCATCAGTTAGCACTTGTGCGTTAAGGATATTTGGTGTTTAATGTCCCCAAAGGTTACACTCACGCTGAGAGGGAGAGCCTCCCATGAGGCAGGACTTTCCCTGCAGATGCGTCTCCTGGAAGGACACAGGTTGTCAGAGGCCAAGTGGAAGGACGTAGGGCAGAAGCGGTTGTAGTTGTTAGGTGGGTGGGGAGAAATGGCCAGAAGAATCTCTGCTGTCTAAACTGTGTCCTCCTCCAGACCCTAGCAGGAAAACCTTTATTTTTGTCTTTCAGCAGCGCTTTGCAGAGGGCAGGTGTTTGTCCAGGCCACTGCCAGGGGTGTCATGTTCCCCTCTGGCTCTGGGATGTGCCGGGGTTGAGCACCCTGTGTCTCCGAGCAAGTGGCAGGCGTCTGGCAGGGGGCTGATGGCAAGGGAAGACTTAAACCTTTCAGCTCTTCTGATGACCTCTGCTGGCATCAGCATGGGGGAATTCCTTTATTCTTAGTCTGCTTTTGAAGAAGATCCAAGTCTTAGGTTTTCATACAAAACCTTATGAAACTTTCCTGCTCCCTATGATGCTTGCGCTCAGCTCTCAAAAGTGAAGACAGTAAAAACCCAGATGAATGCTGTGCTGGAGTGTGGGGGTTTTTTCTGGTGTTAGAGAACACAAAACTTTCTGAAACTAACTTTTTTTTCTCATTGATCTTAAAATTATACTGGGAGTTGTAACATACATCTTGAACTGAGGCTTGCAGTTTTGTCTACCAAGAAGAGAAACAAGTGGCTGGAGAAATATGAGAATGGAGCTAAGGAAGTTGAATGCGGAGTGGGTGAACTGATTTTATCATGACAAACCGTAGTGTTTTGGATCACTCTTCAAAATTGTCGCCTAGGAATGGACCTCCAAATTTAGCAACTGTCTGTTGGCACCCTGCTCGGACTTAGCATCAGTGTTTGGAAATGATAAGCTGTTTGGGTCCCCAAGCATAAACAGCTCAATAGTATATGGATTTGTGTGTTTCTCTGGTGCCCAAAAGCCAATCTTAGAGACCTGTCCTCGATTATACATTACTTGAAAACTTTAAATTAGTTTATATTTTCAGGGATCCCCTCACACCCAGAAGGAGCTGATTACTTTAAAATATAAAACACTTTTTCCCCACTCCCTTTTTATAAAAGAAAGGAGAACAAAGAAATACTGAGGGCGGTTGTAACTTACTGCACAAAAGAAATCATTAAAAACCATTGCAAGCTGGCTGGAGGCCAGCTTTGATCACGAGGAATCCCTAAGTGCTGTGTAAACTTGAACTGTTACACGCACCGTACCTAAGGTCCGCTTTGGCATCCACCGGCGCAGAGTGGTCTGCAATGGCTCTTAGCAACACTTTGGAGCAGCTCAAGCAAGAAGCTGAAACTTTCTTTAATCTTCCTCACCCCCATTTTGTACCTCCTTCTCCCGGGGACTTCTGCCTAGATGGAGTCTCGATTTCTCACCTATATTTTTATGCTTAAATTTTTCTTTCTTGGATCTGTACCCATCGTCATAATTGCTATTGTTATACCCGCTGTAATGGAAAAAAGATTAATCTTGGAGACTGTCAGCGTGGCACTTTGAGGCTGTTTTTGAATGATGCAGGCTATTTCTCATGGCGCGGTTTGACAGCGCAGCTGAGCTGCTGCAACAGCTTAGCTGCTGCTGCAAGGTGTGGTCCCGCTCCCCGGTCCCCTCCTGTGTACCAGCGCTGGCAGTTGAGAGCTAACTGGGCAAAAAGCTCAACCTACCAAAACGTGAAGGTTTTTTCTGGGTGTTTAGCTCCCTGTTCCAGCTCACTGTGGGATCAGATGAATGAGTGCAAGCGCAGGTGGAAAGGGAAGAACAAAATGCAGGAAACAGGGCTGGAGAGCTGGACCAGCCTCTTGGCTTCAGCTGTTAGATGGGCATGGTGGTGTCAAGCCGGCAGTATTTCCTGCCATGCTGGTTTTCTTTTCAGTGTTTAATCTTTTCTTCACCCTGCTGCTGGCTTAAAGGTGTTTCAAGCCACCTTTCCTCATAGGAGTTATTTTGCATCCCTTTCTGATGTGGTTCTCTTGCTTTAAGTTTTTTTTCCCCGCTTTTAGCTGATGATGTGAAGTAGAAAAACAGATAAGGGAAGTGAATGGAGGGAAGTTAAATTAGGAAGAAAGAACAGATTTCCATACTCTTTGTCTTGTTTTTTTAAGATTCATGCAATATTTTTAGTCAAGGAGGTTAAGTTTTGTCTTTTTGATTTAGATGAAGACTCAGGAATGTATAAGGAAATGGTATTTTCATCTGTTCTTCAAAACCAGATCTCAGCACAGAATCAAAGGCTGCTGTGCTCTTAGAAGTGTTTTATTTCGAATGGAAAAGAAAATAAAGCTGCAGCACTTAGAAAAAGTTCAGATGCATTCCTGAAAATCTTTCAGGGGTTGTATGGGTTTGCTGCTTCAACTCTTGCTATGAGTTTGATTTAAAATGACCTCCTAAATCTGTTAATAGTCTTGCAAAGCGATTCATTTTGCTTGGCCCTGGGTGGAAACCATGCAAAGCCACCGAGTTCTGCAGGAATTCCTTCAGGAGCCAAAGCTGCTCAGATACAGTAAAGGGTGTGTAAATCTGGAATTGTGGTTTGTGACACACCTCCACTTTTTTTTTTCATTAGGTAAATCAGCTTAATCTGACTCTTTGGGAGAAGAAAAGCTATCCGCCTGCATATTTAATATTTCATTAAATATAGCAGTGTCCTCCCAGAACTCAAGATGTTTTCAGTGTGAGCACAGACAGTGCAAGAGGCAGAGCTGAAAGGATCAGAGGTCCTGCTGGGAAAGAGCCCCTGGGCTGTGCTTACCCTGGTATTACATTCAGATGCGAATGATTCTTTCTTTTCTAGAATTGCAAGGTTAAAGTAAATACAAAGATGTTTTTTATGTATATGTGGCTATTTTTGTTCCTAAATAATTCCAAATATATTATTCTGAAACTATGCAGTTATATACTGGGTAGAGTTAAAATTATGTAAATTGTGCTATTAAATGGCTGATTTCTTTCAGAGGAGCTTGTACTAAGAGAAGAAATCTTGTTTCTCTTGTATATTTTGGTATAACAGCCTTGATAGATTTTGGAATGACAGGTTCCGCATCAGTGTAATAACATGCAATTAAGGGTACAAATCTATCATCGCTGCTAATTGCAAGTCTGTTGTTTTTATGCTGCCATCTAGGCCTCAGCCCCAGTTGGAGACCTGCTCTATTTGGCACTGTAGAGGAGTGTGATAAAGGATATTCTGTACCTTCAAAACTTGTCGTGTACATGGAAAAGAGAAAAGCAGGCTCATGTAGGAGAAGGGAACGAGCTTCTTTCACCTGTTCAACACCAGGGCTGCGATTAGAACTAACCTCCCTTAGGAATGTGCTGGACTGTACGGCCAATTTTGGGCCATAATGCAGTGCTGTCTTGTGAGTGGAGGGAATGTCATTGCTTTATAGGAAGACGCAAGCTTTCACCTGTATTGCCATATGGCAGGGTAGAGCTATCGTGATAAGAGTACTGTCTGCAAATAGTTAAAGTAATCAAGAGGAAAGTACCTTCTAAATAATAGGAAGATTTTAACTGTGTGTGTATTTGAAAAGATCACAATTTTAATGTCCGTACTCAAAATAATTTGGTTGAGCGTAGCTGTGTCTCAGTTTTCTTGGCCAATGTTTGTTTTTATAATCTGCATTCTTACTCATATTTGAAAGAGTTGTTCATATTCCCTCCTGTGTGTGAAGGGAAAAGCATACAGAACAAGGAAATATTTTTGGATGTGCTGAGGCTGCAGTGCAACTAGCTATATAGAGAGCTTTGTTGAATACTTGGGGTAAACAACAGGGGGTGGTAGTATTTTTTTTATTCTTTTCTTATAGTTAGCTTAGTATTTTATTACTGCATTTATTGATTTTGTTATCTGTTTGCATTCTGCTTGGATATATAAATTATTAATTTTCCTTTTTCTTTTTTAAACTTTATCTAGGTTATTCTGAATAATTCCAAAAATATCCTTCAACATGCCTGAAAATCCTGCTGCAGGTATGTAGTCTGAAAGTGATTACTTTTGTTAAGCAGTGAGAAATGAAGCTCCATTCCTAACATGTACTACTTTGTGGTGCAGATAAGCAGCAGGTGCTGCAGATCCTTGATCGTCTGCAAGCAAAACTACGTGAGAAGAGAGATTCCCAACATAATGAAAACCTGACTGTTCTGCGTAACACACTCAGGAGCCCTTTGTTCAACCAGATACTGACCCTCCAGCAATCCATCAAGCAACTGAAGGAACAAGTGAGTGTAAAATTAGAATTGTTGATGTGATGATAACTAGAGTGAACTTGGAACTTAAAACAGGGTATGTAGGCATGTGTTAATGAGGACGCTCTCATTAATAAGCTGTGACTTGGTGTGAGTGAATGGTGGGCTTCCCCCCTGCCCCGGTCAAGCTAGTATCTATAGAGTCACTACTGAAATGAGAAGTGATATCACAACAAACAGGTCATGGGGCAACGTGCTTTGAAAGGGATGCCGAAGAGGCAGGCATTGAGAACTACATAAGTCAGATAAAAGCATCTGCAAAAGATATCAGCTCAGAACTTTGAGTTCTGAACACAGCTGGAACTGGGATCCTTTGTTTTTCACGGAAGCTAAATTCTGTTTATCAGCTAACTGGCAGCATCTTTTCTCCTTAAAAGACATCATCACTTAGTTCC